AGCAGCACCGACACCAGTGACCACCCCTCTCAGAACACCTATTTGCAGGTACCATACCATGCTAGCTTTCCTCCGCCTCTCTCGTCTGTCCTCACATCTCCTGCTGGCTTTTCTTCCTACTGCTGACCTGCCAACATGAGGAGGTTTTAGCTTCTTCTACGTTTACACTCATCTCCCCAGGGGAACCTGTCTGGCCATGGAGCTGTAATTACAGCACCTTTTAGACCCTTTAAGTTATATTTCCAGGTCCAGCTTCTTCCCCGAGCTTTATACTATACATCTACCTGCTTCACTGAAGTCTGCATTTAGATGTCTTTTGCTTCTCTATAGACCTCAGTCCTTAAAAGTCACTGGAAAGAGTGTGAACAATTTTAAGTTGGGTAAGTTGTGTTGAGGACCATTCTATATAACTCCTGGGGAAAAATCATTGCCTAATTAAACTGTGATTAGAGCAGACCTAGTGCCCTGCCACTCGGGCTGGCTCTGGCAGGGGAACATAATTCCTTGTGCCTCAGGTCACAGTTCAGGCATCAATGGCCCTGAGATTCTGTGATGCCCCAGGGCACAATTGCAACAGGGTTTCACCTTGGGGAAAGGTGAGAGTCCTTTTTTTTTTTGTCTTTTGTCTTTGAGACAGGGTCTTACTATGCAGTTGAGGCTGGCCTTGAGCTCACTTTGTAGCCCAGGCTGGTCTCGAACTTGCAACAATCCTCCTGCCTCAGCCTCCTGAGTGCACTCCTTAAGCTGCCATTTCTCTGCATCATCCTTGTCAACATAAAGATCCTCATTAGCACAAGATCACCACCCTCTGAGTCATCCATAATCCCTCTAAATATGATGTACAACCAATAAAGAGTGGCTGGCTCGGGCTGTCTTTGTCCCTCCCACCTTGAGGCACTGACCTCCCAGCTCCCTAGTCATCAATACTAAATCTGTCTCTGTTTATTTCATCCTTTCATCCTTCCCCTCACACAGCCAACTGGGGATCTCAGCCTGGTCTCCTGTAAGTCAAAGACTCAAAACTTTCTAGGGGCTTCTTCCATTACCCTTGTGAGAAAGTCTAGGTATGCTTCCTATTACACATTTGACCTCATGTGATCTCAAGGTTCTCCGGGATCGGCACCTGCCTCTGTCTAATCTGCTGCTGCCCTCCCCATCCGCTTCTCCCCCTGCAGGCCAGCATTTGTGTATTCCTCAAGCCTGTCAAGCTTGCTCTTGCTTCTTAGTCTTTGTTACTGTTCCTTCTTCCTGAAAGGCTTTTCTATAGCTTGCTTAATTTGTCTGCATGCTAATTATGCTACCTGAAATTAATACCATTTATCCTTTTTCTTCCTTTGGCTTATTTAATGCCTGCTTTCCCACCAAAAACAAACAAAAAATGAGAGCAGGAGCTTGTCTTCAGTGCTAATCCTGAGAGCCTACAATAGAGTAAATGTTAGCTGCTAGGTGTGGTGGTGCACACCTGAGATCCCAGCACTAGGGAGGCTGAGGCAGGAGAACTGCCACAAGTTTGAGGCCAGCCTAGGCTACATAGTGCATTCAAGGCCTGCCTGAACTAGATAGCAAGACCCTATCTCAAAAAAGCAAAAACAAATCAATGAATGTTAGGTGAATGAATAACTGAGTTGTTTAAAATTTGGAATCTATTTGTCTATAAAAATAATTATTGAAACTTCTTATGAAGCCAACTGATTATTAACCTTTTAAAGTAATATTCCCTGAGTATCTCACTTCTGGAAACACTGGGATCATGCTACAAGAGAAAAAGGTAAAAATGAGAGAGACTCTTCTACCTTACAGTTGTGGCTCAGGATACTTCTCCCAAAATAAGACCTAACTAGAGATCAATGCATTTTTGCCACTAGAGCAGCCCAGGAGCAAGAGAATAGTAAGATACTGTATAGTCTTCTGCTTGACACTGGCCATCGCCATGGGAACAACCAACTATTAATTACAGCTGAATTTTATTTACCAGTTAGGTTCTTTTTGGGGAAACACAGTATATCTAGGTGTCTCCCCAGAGCCTCATGTGCTCATAGGTGGGACTTTTGGGAAGTGGGTGATCATGGGTGTGCAATACTGGATTATGGGTGTCATAATTGGATTGGTCCACTGATTGGTTTAGCATAGTCCTGGGTGTGGCTAATGGGAAGGTCCATCCTGGGTGTGCGTGGCACCAACCAATAGGCTTGTAGCCTGAATGGAATAAAAAGGGAAATGAAGATAACTGCTTGCTGCCTCTTTTCTGCATGGCATGAACTGTTTCTCCTCTGCCATGCCACCTTGCCCTGCAGCCAGCTGACTGTGGACTGAAACTTCTGCAAACTGTGAGCCAAAATAGACCTTTCCTCCATTAACTGTGGGTGTCAGGCATTGTGTCCTAGTAATGAGAAAGTAATTGCGGTACTTCCTGAAAGTACCTGGGTAAAATTTACAAGTAGGAATTTTACCTATTTGGCATTTTACCTCCTTTTAATGCTTCTACCCAATGCTCCTCTATTGTCCTAAGCTTCCACTTATGCCCCCCAAATTGGCTTAAATGTTGTTTGTAGCCCCTTCGCCTAATTCCTTTAAGTGATTATCTCACCCCTTCAGGATTTGTACCTATTCTAAAAAGAATGTGTACTGAGTTAATTCATAATTTCTAACTGGTAGGATTTGGGGCATCAGTACAGTGATGTAAAAAATACAGAGTGAACAGAAGATACCTGTTGACAGCTCAATAAATGACCACAGTCATTTTTTTGCACATAGTAGTCATTAATAAATATCAGTGAAAGGAGTGATTAAGCGAAAGGAATCATGCCAAAACAAGCTCTCAGTTTTTCTTTCAGTCAGCCCCCCAAAAGGTCCTTTTCTTCCCCAGGAGGCAAAAGTTGTTTCTAACAATGTTTCACTCAACACCAGAAAGGGGCAGCAAAAAAAGAGAAGGTGCTCAACGGGGGAAAGGCAGAAACAAGAAATATTTCCATAGGTTGTAGTTTATTTTAAAGTAAGTTTTGTAGTTTTTTAAAAGAACAAATTTGATTTGTCACTAAAAGTACTGAAGCTAGATGTAATTTAAGATGGTAAAACAATATATTTTGGAGAGGAAATATTTGTTATTTAAAGCCAGTGGGTTTAAAAGGCCTCATACTTTGTAGCTCTCTGAAAGGCAGCAGGTAAGAAGACTTCTCAAGTGGAAATACAAAAGATGGAAGGCAGAACAGGTCCTCAACCCCTACGTAGCACCAGAAAAATCACCTGCAGACCCCACTGAACCATTTACCCTTGGCCTTACCACACAGATATGTCTGATTAAGTCTAGAGTGTGGAATAGTTGTAGTTTAAACAAGAACCTCAGGTGATTCTGATAGTGTTATAGGCAGCTGAGTTAGATAGAACTATTAAAAATATTATAGGCAGTCAGGCAGGGCCAGACCCTCAAAGGAGACAGTATAAAAGATGAGACACCTTGCAGCTGTGGAGGAGACAGACACCTCCAGCTGTGGGCAAAAGATTAAACAGAAGTGCCCACATACTTCCCTAGGGATGGACCTCAGGGACTGATATTCTAAATAGGTAGTGATCACCTTGAAAAAGCCAGGAAGAGTCACTAACCCAACACCCTCCAGGAAAGGCCCCTGCTCTGTATTCATGCTGGCTTGCTATGTGACTTGCTTCCCCACTTGATCCTGATTTAATCAATTTTACCTGAACAATTATGCTTGTAATCTTATTGGCTGACCATAGTTTTGTCCCACCTCATGCCGACCTAGCGAGTTCCCACGTTTTTACACCTTGGACCCGCTTCACCTTGTGATTTTGCTCTATAAAAGTTTCTAGAAAGGACAGGTTCTTGGGCAGCCCACTCGGGCTCCCCTTCTGTTCCTCTCTGGGACAGAGGCTTTCTTTCCTTCAATAAACCTCTTAACCTCTGTTGTCCCTAAAATTCATTCTTCGATTTTAGAAAACACACTCACCCCAGGTATCTTTCAGTCTGGGAGTTTTTTCCCCTCTATATCAATAGGAGTGGGCTTACACACAGTTACAAAAGTTGAGCAAAATGGGTGCAACGCAAAAAGACCCAAATTAAAACCATACTAGCAGGAATAAAGTGAGAGAACAAATTTTAGCCAGATTTAAGGAATACACATAGCCTGCTGCTTTACTGGACATGAACGATGAAAAAGAAGGTCCATGTAGGGTTATATCTGTGCTATTAAAGTCTGAATTAAAATTCAGAAGGATTAGGGTTTTCTTGTTTTGAAGATGAATGCTGAGAAGCAGGATGGTTCTTAAAATGATGACTTCAACTTTGGCTAAATTGAGTGCTTCTAGGGCCTTCGAAAGAAACGTCCATAAGGCACTCACAAATACAGTCTCAGAATTAAATGATCCTTCCTTCCTCCCACCCCGCCTTTTTAAAAGAAAAAGCCAATAAGTATTTGTTTGAATTTTGCTACTAATTCACTGCGCCCATCAGCTGGGACAAGAGACTCAGGTGGACCAACTAAAGCCCCTTTCTCTGGCCAAGCACACCCTAAACGACCTTCCCCACCTCGACCGAAACCTGAGCAAATGTACACTTACACCCCAGCTCCGCAGTGCAGAGATCTCCCCTGCTGAGACCCTCACTCCAGCGTGAGTATGGGGACCACAGTCTAAAAACTGACAGGGCCCAATTCCCACCCCACCCAAAGAAAGAAGCTGCTGGGCCGCCCAAGACGCGTGGTGAAGCCTGGGACTTTCCCTGCACGGAGTCCGCCAATCTTTCCCCGCTCCCAAATCTCCCATCAGGCCAGTCTCACTCACTTCTCGGAGCGTCCGGCCCAACATGGTTTCGGGTTCAACCTGCTGCCCCAGGCATCAGGTGGCAAGGAGGAGAAAGAGGTCAACAGCAGCTCCCGGTACTACTGGGCGCAGCCATCTTTGATTGTCACCTGACCCTTCAACATGGAGCACTTGGATTGGTCGACTTGCAGCCCAAGGGCACGAACTTTGCACGCGATTGGTTGGCGCCGCAAAGCCTCCCGCGGGGGAGAACGGGAGCTTGCTAGCAAGGAGACTCCGGGCTAGGGTCGCCGCGGGAATTCGCAAGCCTTTGAATCTGCGTGGCGTTGGGCTCAGGAGCCGGGGCTACTTATCCTGCCAAGGGATCCCAGGACAGGGACTGGGGAGTGTGGAGGGTGTGCACAGTTGCCTTTTTCTTTTCTTTTATTTTTTTTAGAGGGAGGGGATAAACCTGGTAGGAGAATGGATAAAATACTAGCTAAACGTTAATTTCTGATGCGAAGAACAGAGTAACAATTTCATATTGTTGCTCCATTAGGTTAACTTCACTTTTGAATGCTCAGTTTTGAAAGTGGCTAGCGTGCTTGGTAGAACTTGACTGAATTCAAGGGTGAGCGTTTGACCCACCTAAGTGCTTTTTATTGAAGAGCGCTGTTCAACCACTTTTCACGATGGAGGTTTTGAAGGCTTGTGTGCTTAGAAGTGCATGTACTGCGGCTTGCTTCTGGAGAAGCAAGCTTACACAGAAGCCTTCAGTCAGGAAGATTAGTACTACCTCTCCAAGGAGCACTGTCATGCCTGCGTGGGTGATAGATAAGTACGGGAAGAATGACGTTCTTCGACTCAATGAGAACATGATGTTACCTATCATACATTACCCAAACGAAGTTATTATAAAAGTCCATGCTGCGAGCATAAATCCTATAGATGTTAATATGAGAAGTAAGTTTTCAAAAGACATTTTTGTTACCTTTTAAAAATTCTATTAAGTGTTTAGTTTTTTTTTTTTTAAAGATTAATTGTTTGACTACACTTTGGTTAACACAATGGAATCATTTAGGTTTTTAATAATACTTGTGAAAATATTATCTAAAAATTTTGAAATCTCACTAGCCAGTGTATACTTTAATCTTTTACAGAATGTTTCTGTGCTTTCTTAAAATGTGAATTGGCTCTTGAGAGTTGGGTCTACAGCTAACTTGGTGTACTCCTCAGAACTTTATAGGCTCCTCCCGAGTTTCCTGGATGTGGTATGTTTTCACATCAGTGTAGAATTTGCATTTTTGGGATAATTCCCGTCTTCTGCTCTCCCATCACTCACAACTCTGTTGGTCAGAATGTAAAGCAGCAGGGCTGTAGGATATGGGCATAATACTTTCTCATTTCTGTTCTTGCATTCTGCCCGCAGCAGTTAAAATACTCTTTCCCATTATGCTCTTTTCCTAATTTCAGAAAATGAGGTCATCTTAATTTCTGCTGGAGGATACTGACAAAGCTTGGAGAGCAGTATGTTCCTTAACTACGTACTATACAATAATTGTATTTGTTGTATTGCTGAAAAGATTGATTAATATTTGAACTAAAAGTTTGGAAAGTACTAACAAAATATTGTCAGCCTTGCTTATGGGAACTCCTCCATGTCTTCTGAAGAAATTGAAAAACGTCTTTTAGAATGATTAACCTCAGTGTTAATTACAAAGCAGCTTATCTTAGTGTTTTAAGTAAGCTGCCATGTGCAGTTTAATTTAGCCTTTGGTTATTGATTTGAAGGGTTTGTGTGTAGAACTAGAGTTAAATTGAACAGATTGCCTCGATACCGATTCTCACATATGACTGATACATGTGAATTTCTTTCGTTGTGTATATCCAATTACAAAATTAAGGTTAATGATGAAAGGAGCCATTCTGTGGAATTTAGAAGCTTATGAAAATGCTAACACTTTGGTTTTTTTCCCTGCTCTTGTTTTCCAGAAGTGCTGTAGTATTAAATTAGAGTAGCAATTCTCAAATTTTTTGGTCAAGATTTTACTGGACTTTATATGAGCTGTATGTATTGATATTTGAAATTAGAACAAATGTTAAAATATTTGTAAATGTACTTATTTAAATATACAGTAATATTACAAGACTACATCAGGAGAAAAATATAAAATGACAAAAAGGACGGAGGCAATTGAATCTGTGAAGGACAAACAGGAAGTAGCTAGTAGAGGACAGATCTGCCTGTATAACGTTATAAGGAAAACTTCCAAAATAAGCAAAACATTAGTATGGTTAGCATTGTTTTACACTTTTGCATCCCTCTGCTGCCTGCTTTAACAAAGCAGCTGGGTTTTGATATATTCTTCTGTATGCAATCTGTTGCAGTATGTTTCTTGAAGTAATGAAGAAAAGCTAGTCCCACAAAATGATTGTTGGAAAGGAAGAACTGATTAGTCTCTTTGAGAAGACAGGGGACATGCCAAACTTAGAGAAGTTCTGGGTTAGGGAAATAAAGTCACATTCGTTGGGACTGGGTTGTTTACTCCAGTCTTGAAGGGTGCCATATTTAACTTAATGACTATTTAGACCTATGCTGTTGAAAAGTAGCCATATGTGGCCATGAGCAGTGAAAGTGGCTAGTCAGTCCTATTTAAGAGGGCGATGAGTGTAAAAATACTAGATTTGAAAGACTTACTAAGAAAAAAGAAAGTAAAAAGACTGTTCAGAATTTTATATCAGGACTATAGGTATAGCTCAGGGCAGAGTGCTTTTCTACTGTGCATGGGGCCCTGGTCTTGGTCTCCAGGACTACAAAAAAGCCGATAAGAATTATATATTAACTACACATTAACCTGACAGAATTTTCAACCTGTAGAGTACAATATTCCTAAAATTAATTTCCCTTATTTCCTTTTACCTTTTACTAGAAAATTACGTATTGTAGCTTGCATTATGTTTCTTTGGACAGCATCTATCCAGACAATATGATGGAATAACTATTATGCATTTCTTTGGGGGAAGAGGTTTGGAGAGAGATTTGGAGTCTTAATGTATTTGTGGTTAGAAAGCTCTATTAAGAATGACTGAAATGACTTTACTGTGATTCTCACATGATGTCTGTGTTTGAATTTTTTATTTTGCAATGCTGAGCGGCAAACCCAGGGTCTTGTGCATGCTAGGCAGTCACTCTACTGCTGAGCTGCATCCCCAGTCCTGTACTTTTGTTTTGAAGTAATAATTGCTACTGTTATTTGGACATGCTGTTTTATTTTATTTTAAAATCTTTTTTCTTTTTACATTGGGCTTGAAAGTAAATTCATTTTATAAGATCCATATGTGCAGTTTGTGTGGAATACCTCTATATTTCAGAAGGATGACTGCATCTGGACTTTCTTAGCTGCTGTTTAATAATATAATACTGGAACATAGTTTACTTCTGTATAGTATTCTTGAGACATCTTAGTGTTTTATGACCTGACTGGGTAATATTATTTGCAAGTTATCCTCCTGCCCATGAATTCTTTTTGAAAAAATGTTATTGTTGCTGCAGAATATATGTGAAATGATAACTTGGGGAAATAAAATAAGGAATAGAAGACTGTAAACTTCCAGAAGCAGTTATTTCCCTTGACAAAAAAATGAGACATGTATACTTTTTTTGAAGGGTGAAAGCTTGCGATTTTTCTGAAGATGGTCACTAGTGGTAGACATGAGATAATAAATCATAGAAATGGCTACATCACTGCATAACTTTAAAGATAGCAAAATAATACAGCCAACAAACTTGGTTTCTTTGGATGGGATTAAAGTTTTTGAAACCAGTGACAGAGGTAGGATTTTCCAAATCAGCTCAACTGTCCGTACAAATCAGGCCTCTGGAATGACACATTGAAGGGTCCCGTTTATTTGTGCTACCAGCCAGGTACTCAAGTGCAGCTAGCTGCGTAGTGCATTTTGGGTTTAAGTGAGTCACCATTGTATGCCCAGCCATTTAGCTGACGCACTGGCATATTAGGGTTACCGAGAAAAGTGTTTAAAAACAACCTTGGGCTGCTAGCCATTACCTTAGAGAGGACCGAAACCTTTTCTGTAGCTAAATTTTGCCTCTACTGCCTAAACCACATAGAGGTTCCGGGGAGTAATTGTTTACATTTTAGCCGTGGAAAAGGAATGTAAGACAGGAAAAGTAACCATGCAATTTTTGTGAGCATCACAGAATGAACTTGTTTTTCCCCCTGTAAAATGCAGTCCTAACTAGCCAGATGGCAGAGTGTGATGTTGGCATAACAACCATCAGCTTAAATTTTCTAGGACTGTCCCAGCTTTCAAATGCTTTCACCCGTGTGTCTGGATTTTTCACTGGTAAAACATCTTCTGCAAGCTACCCACCTGTCAGCACCTCTCGCTCCCTCCTGCTCTTATCCGAGACCAACCCCCTATTCGTGTCTTCTCCCACCCTTTCTCATCTATTGGGGTATCGTCGCAGCAGTTCTGTCCTGCATCACTAGCTTTTTTTTTTTTTTCCTTCTCACTGGATTATTACCATTGATGTACAAATTTGCTATTATTTTTCCCTCTTGGAAAAAAAGCCACTGAACAATCTTTTCATCTCAACTGCCCCCTCCTTTTGCTCTGTTTTCCTGCTTTCTTCATGTTAACTGTCTGAAAGAGTTGGCTCTTCTCTGCCTCTGATTCCTTCCCAGTGTCTCTCAAAGTCTTCGTTCCACAGCAGCTACTTCCGGGGTGTTCCTCACCCTGAGGATGTCATGTCACACTGCCCGCCCGCGGTGGGCAAGGGCCAAGGGAAGACCTAGTCATGATTCTAGACATACGCTGTGAGTAGGGAGTGCGTGACCCTGGAGAGGTTGACGGGGTGCCTCTGGAGAACCTCTCAGATAGCAGACCTGGTCTTAGAAACATGTCAGGGGCCTGGGGATTTAGCTCAGTGGCAAAGTGCCTGCCTGGCAAGCGCAAGGTCGTGAGTTCGATTTCTGGTACCGGAAAAAAAGACAAAAAAAAATTAAGAAACTTGTCAGGCAGAAGAGAGAGTAACAGATTCTTTTGTGTTTTAGAAAAGTCATTTTATATACTGAAGCTATGTTATAAGCTACTTTGGATTACTGCAGATGGAATAGCCAGTTTATTTGAATAAAAACCCCACTCATTACAAGAATGTTTTCAGCTATATTCAGGTGATATTTTTTGTTTTGTTTTGTTTTGTTTTTGTTGTTTTTCTTCCAGTACCAGGAATCGAACTCACAACCTTGCACTTGCCAGGCAGGTGCCGTGCCGCTGAGCTAAATCCCTAACCCCTCAGGTGATATTTTTATAAATATTCTTAAAAAGGATATGTACAGTAGAGCAATTGACCTGACTTACAGTATCAGAATAGTTGCATCTCAGTGGATTTTATCCACTCAGGAATCTCTGTACTTACTCCAAAATCATTTTTCTAAAAAGTTTTTTTTTTAGGAGATGGGGACTGTTTTTCAATGACCAGTGTCAGAAACAAGTACTTTATATCCACATCTTGTTTATTAACTTTTAGTGGGTGTAATGTTTGTCTTCTTCACCAGATTTAGGATCAGGTGTCTTCGTTTAAAAAGTTCATGAATGAATAAATTATTAAAGATGCGATCTTTTAAAAAATTTTTTTATATTTATTTATTTCTGTCTTTTTGAGACAGGGTCTCACTATCAGTTCAGGCTGGCCTTGAGCTCACTTTGTAGCCCATGCTGGCCTTGAACTCGAAAAGATCCTCCTGCCTCAGCCTCCCGAGTGCTAGAATTATAGGCATGCGCCACCATGCCTGGGTCTAAAGATGCCATTTTAAAGGAGCAAAATTTTTTTCTAATATTACATAATTTGTTCTATTTTATCCCTTAATTTTATAAAATATGAAAATAAGTTGTTCTTCAGGCCATCATATTTGACAATGAAACTTTCAATTATGATAATGCAAAAATATGAAATACTTCTCTCTTAATTTTTTCAGCTCCACGTTCTTTCACCAGTAAGTTCTGAGATACTAACAAAGTAATTATATTCCCGATTTAGAAGAGTTTCAGAGGCTGGAGAATGGATTAGGTCATGGTACACATCTGCAAAAATCTTCATCCCAGCTGGGCCCTTCTGGCTTTGCGTACTCTAACGTGGTCTGGGCATAGGCTTTGGCCCTCGTCCTTGCCAGTTGATGTGAATCTGCTTCACCTGATCTCACAGCTTCCAAGGCTGCTTCAGCATCTTCATCATAACCTCGGAGGGATTCCTCCTCTATAAACTGGCTCAGAGATTCTTTTCGGTCATTCTCTATGAAGCATGGCAAATTGTGCGGCAGCATCAAACGTCCATGCAAATGACTGGGGTTCTCTTGAACAGGAAATTGGAAGGGCACCCTCAGCTCGAAGCATTCATTTCCTACTTTGAATGCATACACAAATTCTCTTTGCTGCGGAATCTTTCTCGATTTTTCTTCATATTCTTTGGTAGGGTTTCTTGCTTATTCCGAAGCGCTTGGCACGCTCGGAGCTGTCACAGACCCCTAAAGGAGCAAAATTTGTAAAAGATAACACCGAAAGTTCTGAGGATAGTTTCAGAATCTGAGTTTCAGGGAGATTTTGAGCCGTGGTGGCTGTAGTATCAATGAATCATTGTGACTTTCCAGGTAGTTTCCTTTGGAACAGCACTTGTTTTTATGTTTTCCTGTGTGATGGCAAAAAGTTATAAAGGTAATTATTTTATAGCTTGCATTTTAAGACTTAACATTCTACCTGGTTTGTAATCTATCATGTTTCAATCATCTCTTCTTACGCTTGGAATAACAGATAAATTGTGTTTTGTAGGTGGTTATGGAGCAACAGCTTTAAATATGAAGCGTGATCCTTTACATGTGAGAACCAAAGGGGAAGAATTTCCCCTGACTCTGGGGCGGGATGTGTCTGGTGTGGTGATGGAGTGTGGGCTTGATGTGAAATACTTCAAGCCTGGGGATGAGGTGAGTTAATTTTTATTTTATTTAATTTTTTATTCTTTATTCCATTTCTAAATGTGCAAATATGGTTCTTTTGGAAGTATATGTTTTTTTGTTTTTTTGTTTTTTTGTTTTTTTTTGGTTTTTCTCCGGTACCGGGAACTGAACTCACGACCTTGCGCTTGCCAGGCAGGCGCTTTTGCCGCTGAGCTAAATCCCCAGCCCCTGGAAGTATATGTTATACTGACTGTTCGTCTTTTTAATAAAGACCTTTGGCTGACCTATGGCTGAAACATTCATGTTCTTGATTATGTGTTACCTTTTTTTTTTTCAAATAATTAAAAAATAACTGCTGGGTATGGGTCATGCCTGTAATCTCAGCTACTTGGGATGCTGATGTAGGACAGTCAGGAGTTTAAAAGGTCAGTGTGGGCAACTAAAGGAGACACTGTCTCAAAATACAAACATGAAAAGGGGTAGGCGTGTAACTTGGTGCTCCCTTGGTTCAATCCCCAGTACTGCAAAAACAAATAAAACACATAAAAAACCCACAAACTTGGACTGTATTGACTTTTCTAAATTAAGTGCTTAGGAATCACAAACTTTGCTATTATAAGACTGGAACTGTTTGAAAGAACCTTGAAATGACAATTTCTACTCTATGTATTAGATTGTTTTAAAATAGCTAAAGTTTGATGTACTCTTGTCATATCACTTTGAACACTTGCACCAGGAGAGTATAGTGAGCCCTTCACTACAGCCAGCAATGTTCTGGTTGCTTTTTTATGAAATAACTAATTTAATCCCTATGAGATAGGTAGAGCTAGGCCCAGTTTACAAACGAGGAAGCCAAGCTATTAAAAAAAAAAAAAGTCCCAAACAGCCAGGTGTGGTGGTGCACATCTGTAATCCCGGCACTCCGGAGGCTGAGGCAGGAGGATCATTGCAAGTTTGAGACCAGCCTGGGCTACAAAGTGAGCTCAAGGCCAGCCTGAACTGCATAGTGAGACCCTGACTGAAAAAGACAAAAAAACAAAAAACAAAAGAAGAAGTCCTACAGCGAATAGTGGTAGAGCCAGGATTCAAGCCCCAGAGACTGTAGTCTTCCTAGAACTCTTTAAGTAGCCAGTCAGTCCAGTGGGATATACTGTTGCATGTGCTTCCATTCTGGGAAGTTTATATCATGTAAAAATGGCTCTTTGGATTTGTGTTAGCGGACACCTTCATACTTCGCTTGGGTCAGAAAATGTGTACGTCTGTGGTGAAATTGTGTGTCTGTGTGCTTTTCAGGTCTGGGCTGCGGTTCCTCCTTGGAAACAAGGCACTTTCTCCGAATTTGTCGTCGTCAGTGGGAATGAGGTAACTTGTCATCTCTGCTGTGTGCCCTGGGGAAACAGAGACCGAGGAGTGTCTCTGAAATCATTGGATGTGTTTCCAATGAGGTTCATGTTTTCTGGGCAGTTTTGAAGAAGCTAAAATAAAGACTGGGAATTTTTGAAAGATTAAAAATTATTTGGAGTCATGTAAATAGCACAGCCTGCCAGAGAGCAGTTGTCTTTGCCTCGTGGACCAGAGCTCTAGAACTCTGCTGTGTTTTCTGGTTCTCCTACCAAGTACAGACAGCTGGAGACCAGCTATATCAGCAGAGAGTATGGAGTAATCCTAAGCAGAGGCATGGATATGTGTAGCTGTTTTGAAGAACTTTAAAGACAGCAGAGTAGTTGGGTGTGGTAGCACATGCCTGGAATCCCAGCACTCAGGAGGCTGAGACAGGAGGATCACTGCAAGTTTGAGGGCAGTCTGGGCTACATAGTGAGTTCAAAACCAGCTGAAACTATCTAGTGAGACCCTGTCTCAAAAAAACCGAAAAAGAGGCAGTGTAATCAAGTGTACATTTTGGTTAATTTTTTTTTTTTGGTACCAGGAATCGCACTCAGGACCTCACGCTTGCCAGGCGCCATGCCACTGAGCCCTGATATACATTCTGAGTAGAAAGGAAGAGGTTAACAGTGAGGAAATCAGCTACAAAAGGGAGGCAGGAGAGGGGCAGGGGTGTCACTGAGATTGAAGAAAACCTAAAAAAATTCCTTTCCAGAAAAGGAGAGCAAGGGAGTAGTTGATCCCTCAAACAAATTAGAATGTGTTTGAGGATTCAAGGTTTAATGGTTTTATTTGTAAATACAGTTAGGGCTAATGAGATTATTACATGTGGGCTTTTTATAAATGGTGAAATAGCTAAATCGAATAATGTATCCTGCAAAACATTACTGAACCCTAGTGAGGGGGTAGAGGGCTGCTTGGAGAATATTCCTTAGGGACGATCTTGGAATAGAGTGTGCGGTAAACCCTGAACCTGGATGATTTTTAATAGATTTGTCTCTGAAAATAGCAGGACTGCTAAGAAGGTAGATGCGCTTAATTATGCTCATAGCTTTGCAAGTCCCTGTTTATTTGTGATTTTTGTCTTCAAATACAGGTTTCTCACAAGCCCAAATCACTCACTCACATTCAAGCTGCCTCTTTGCCCTATGTGGCTCTCACGGCCTGGTCTGCCATAAACAAGGTTGGTGGCCTGAATGACAAGAACTGCACAGGAAAACGGTAAGTCTCTTCATGGTGGCATCTAAACGTCCCTTTCTTTTGGTTAGTTCTTAGCAGTAGGTTTATCAGGAGCGTTAAAATTAGTATTATATGCGTGATGGAAGTCATGCTGATATTTGAAACAAGTTCCAAAGAGCTATTTGTGTTGGTCTGTACTCTTTGAACTGAAAAGTGTAGATGGGCTCTGAGAACGCAGACCTTCTAAAATAATGTAAAATTTTGAATGGGAACATTCCTGGGAAGAAGGGCCTTGGTTTTTATCATATTCCCACAAAGTTTATAAATCATCCCGCATACTTTTTTTTTGGTACCCAGAATCGACCTCCAGACCTCATGCTTGCCAGGTCCCTGGGCTAAATCCCTGGCCCTTCCCACATACTTTCTAAAGAACGAAACCAAAGTGAAGGTATTTTATTCATACCCCTTCCAGGAGTTGCTCTCACATTTGTATATTCCTGTGAAAATCAAATATGAAGGGTGCAAACCATTATTGAATATACACGATGCTTCAGGCCCATCCTGACACTCTGAAGACCTGCACGTATGCTTGTTTAAGTTAGTAACGAGACAGGGGCTGGGGATTTAGCTCAGTGGCAAAGTGCCTGCCTGGCAAGTGCAAGGTCGTGAGTTCGATTCCTGGTACCGGAAGAAAACCAAAAAACAAACAAACAAAAACAGAAAGAAAAAAAAAAAAAAGTTAGTACCAAGACAGTGGCTAGAAATGGCTCAGACGTACGGTCATTCCCCCAGGTGGGTTCGCCTTCCTCAGGGTGAGTTAACCTGTGGTGCACCATGGTCTGAAAGGGGGAGGGCAGCACAGTAAGGCGTTTCAGGGGAATTGAGAATGAGAGAGAGAGACCCCACGTCCGCATAATCTTGGTGACCTATTGTGTGGTGCTATGTTATATTTTCTTGTTGATTTCTTACTGTGTCTAGTTTATAAATTAAACTTTATTGTAGGTGTGGGAAAAAAACCAAAGTAGCTACAGGGGCCAGTACTATCTGTGGTTTCGGGTGTCTGCTGGGGTTTTACAGCACGCTCCCTATGGCGAGGGGGACTATTGCATTTGCATTCATATCCAGATTCTGCTGTATTCCTGTTATGAAATAGTGCACTTTACATTTAAAGTGTTAAATTTAATGAAAGTTTTAAACACAATTTCTGAAAGCGTGGGAAGACTATTCAGCCAGTGAATGAGGTGCTATCATTATCATAAAATTCAAAGCAAATATGTACACTAAAAGTCAACCCTGTGTAGTTTTATGCTTTTCTGGCCTATCTTCTGAAGTTGCCATTTCGGTCAAGCATTTTATGTTGAATGTGTTTGACGACAGAGTTTTTCCAATGATCTGTCCTAACAACCTTGCAAAAATCTCACTCCAGATTTTTTAGACCTGTATTGTTGTTGTAGGCACTACAATGACATTGATGCTTTGTTTTGTTTTGTTTTCCCTTAAAAGCACTAGGTTTTCTATGCTTCTGTGTCTGTGTGCACACTAGGGTCAGAGAACTCGCATTCCTTTGTTTTAATGCTCTCTGGGGATACTTTTAATATACTGTAGAAAACAATTTAAAACAAAAGTCTGGCAGTTTGTTGTCGGATGTAGGTATGAGCTCCTAGCTTATCGTTGGCTTTGTGGGTATTTCTAGGGTGTGCTCCTATGGTCTACTTAGGCAGTAACGGCCTGAACTGGGAAACTGGAACCGTGTATCTGCTGTGCCAATAGCTAGGCAGGTGACCGCATTCGATGTCTGGTCTCTTTGCGGTGTCCTCTGAGTCACTGAGTGTAGGACACTACGCATCGGTGGTGGCAGACCTTGACTGAAAGCTCTAAAAGCTTCCCCGTCAGTGCTGTAGCCTGAGAGGAGGAGGCACAGAAGTGCATAATTTTTACCTTATGAAACCATTATACTATATTATACAGGAACCAATTTCTCACAGTTTTGGAGGCTGCAAAGTCCAAGGTCAAGATACTGATAGATTCCATGTCTGATGAGGGCCTCTTCCTTTACTTGTTAGTGGGTACAAGGGCTGGGAGCATGTTAAAGAACTACAAAAAACTTCTTGTTTGTGTGGTGCTTGGCACATGTTAGACAAGTGCTTTACCGCTGAGCTACATCCCCAGCCCAGTAGTAGTGCTAATGAAGAAGTTATATGGAGGCATTTTATTATACTTTAAGTGGTTCCAGTATCCAGAGTATATTATTTTAAAAATCTGTCTATTCATTGTGATGGATGGAACATATTTTGGCTTCTCTAAGCAATGATTATTCTTCTGTTAGCTATAGTATTAGCATAAAAGAATGCTATAGTTTGTACAAAACAGGTCAGTTTTATTATCAAAGACTAACACTGTTTTTTCTAACCATTTAATTAAGGAAAAAGAAGAATAGCAAAAACTACTAGTAATAAGACAGTGTGATAGCATATACCTGTAATCTCAGCTACTTGGGAGACTGAGGCAGAAAGATTACAAGTTCAAGGCCAGCCTAGGCACTTTAGTGAGACTCGTTCTCAAAAGAAAAATAAAAAGGGCTGGGGCTCCAGCTCAGTGACTGAGCACCCTGGGTTCAACCTGAATACTGCCACAAATGAACAAAATGGAAAAATTCAATATCAGCATTTTGAAAGATTTTATAGAATTTTTTGTAACTAGCAGCTTACTGAAATTAAGACAGTGCTTTTGAAGAGATCACTGGTGTTTCCCTACCTGTTCTTTCTCAGTTATCTAATTATCTTTTTGTAACAACTGAGCATTATTGAACCCAGAGGATTTAATGTTGATGTCATATAATGTCAATTTTTTCTACACTTGGGTATCATTTGAAATATCAGGTTGACATATTCCCTTGTTATCTGTAGTTCTTTGTGATTTATTTGTAGGTAATTTAGGGCTCTAAAGATGAATACAAATATTTTTTAAAGTTGCTCCTCTTGATACTTTGTGAATATGCTACAGTCTGATGGTTTTATTTATTGGTAGTATCTTCTGTGCACTTGAATATTTCATGCTCTGCCAAAAATTCATCTCTTGCTGGGAAAATTGTACTTCACTCTGTTTGACAGAAGTATTAGAAAGTGTTAGAAAATTGAACCATTCCTCTCTCACAAAATAAATTTCACTTTTAAATTCTGTACCCTGGAAAGTCAATACAGCAAATTTAGCAATCATTTTCAGTTTCTTTTTTGAGATTAGCCTCTATGACAGTGAAATTTTGTCATGTAAGTGTAAATTAGGTTTCTGATTAATTCTGTTTATAAACAGGCTCAAACTTAAAAACACTGATCCTGCCCCCACTGTGCTTATGTTAAAATTAAAATGGCCGTTTGGTCCCTCGTGAGCTTCCTCCTGTCATATGCCTCCTGCTGCCTGTTCTTCACCTCCCCACCCACATACTTCAACCCAGCCTGCCTCTGCCACCCCTTTGGGCTTTGGCGTTTTGTTTGTACCTGGCTGGGCTATTTGGCGGAGGTGGCGGGTAGGGGAGGGACGGACACGCAGGAGTAGAAACCCCACTCCTGGCAATTTTAGTTTTACAGCAGCTCTCATGGGGTCAGAGCTCAGCTGCCAAACCCAGTGGTACTTCTGACTTCTTTTTCCAGTTTGCACTCTCTGAAGTATCTGGTACTGTCTTAGGAACACCGGACGCCTTTACTTTTCTTCTTGCCTTTTGGCCATTTCTTGTCATTTTGTAAAAGACTTCCTGCCTCCCAGCCCTGTAAATGTGTTGTTTTCACAGTGTCCCACTCTGTCAGTCCCATTCCTCACAATTATCTCACCTACCCCCAGCTGCTATTTAGCATTAAGTTGCCGACCTATATTTCTAAGTCTAACCTCTCTACTGAGTTCCAGTTAGATGTTTGCTTTGTATTTCAAGCTCAATTTGTGGACAACAAAATGTAGGCAGCTATCACCCCAACTATCATCCTAATGTCAGTTAATTGGGATTTACCTTGAGCCAAAACTTGTTATTATCCCTAAACCCTGCTCCCTGCCTTTCTGTAGCTCATGTCATGTAAAACTTAGGGTGTTGTCAGCTTTTAGCCAGTGCCTTCCAAGTTTCTCCTATCAATGAACTGTAAGATTTCGAGGCATTTCAAGGTGTCTTGTGCAGTGAATAAGCCTAAAATACTATTGGATTTTAATTAACAATTCTCATTAACTAGTTGTTAACATGTTCCCTGTAGTGGTGTATTTGAAGTTTTATGTGTTTTAATTGGGAGAATTTTCCACAGACTAGCTTTTTGCTCCGTACGTCTGAAACCTTGTTAATATAACCTTGTTTGTTACTCACTACTCACATAATCCAATACTGGGTGTAATCATACTCAGTCTTAATGAAATATCCTGATGCTTAGCTGAGTTGGCATAGTGAGACATGGGAATATCCTTAGAAGGCATTCTTCAGCCAGAACAGCTAGCAGTAACCAAACTCTACACAGAAGTGCCTATGAACCGCATCAGTATTTCCCACTAAACTCAGAGCAAATGTGCTATAGACGCCCTTTTCCACGAGGGTATATGTTTCTAAGACCCCCCTGTGGATGCCTGAAACAACTAATAGCAAGCCTTGTAGTTTTTCCTTTCCATATAAACCTGTAATAACATTTCATTTATAAAATGAGCACAGTGGGGAGCTGGGGATTTAGCTCAGTGGCACAGTGCCTGCCTGGCAAGCGCAAGGTCATGAGTTTGATTCCTGGTACCGGAAAAAAACTAAAAACAAACAAACAAACAAAAAAACTAAAATAAGCACAATGGGAGATTAATGATAACTCATGAAATAGAACAATAAAATAATCTATAATAGTTAAAACTTAGAAGTTATTTATTTTTATAAGTTTGTTTGTAACTTTTTTTGTATGTGTTACCGGGAATCAAACTCAGGATCTTGCACATGCCAGGCACTGAGCTGTATCCCCAGCCCTTGTTTGTAACGTTTTTGGGCTACAGTTGACTGTAAGTAGCTGAAACTGCAGACAACAAAACCATAGGCA